TCGAGTGATTTCCTAGACCAGGTTCACTAAGAGCCGGTTGTGTCTGCAGCCAAAAACGCATGTCTATGGTTAAGCGCACTATTGAAGACTGGAAGGACATGTCATGTGAAATCATCACTCGCTCATGTGAAAGCGCTCTGCCACGACACATGTACTGTCGTTTATCACGGGGAAATAAATTCATTTTCGATGTAGTTCATGTTTCAAAAGTATTGTAGTACAGTGAACGACAGAATGGTACGCCATAGCGGTTCTCAAAGAATTCCAGATTACTGGAGTTTGATTGGGCCTGGAAGTTTGAATTACGCTTCAATTCCAGCCAATTGAAGCCAATCGATGTGTTTTTGATCATCGCTTGACTCCGTTTTCAAATATAATTGCAGGTAATGAGATGTAAAAGCACTATGCCATCGTGAAACGGACTCTTGCTTACTCATTATTGCAGACCATTACAATCCCAATCACTGGTTGTCTTTGTGAAAATTTTAAACATTGTAAATTGATTATGAAAAAGAAGGAATAACTGTAATTAAAATATTAGAATTTTCTTTTTATAAATATATTACTGAATTGTTTTTTAATTACTGGTTGTCACATCTGCAGCACTCACCTGACGAGGTAGGGCCTTTTCAAACCTGCGGCTAATGTCATCGGTGCTTTTTGTTAGCTGGGTCGGAATCTGAAGGAGTTGCAGCATGTGCAGTTTAAATGCCACCGTCTAAGACAGCTTTGAAGTTCGTAGTGTCGAGTTCTCGGTCATAAATTCCTGAATGCATGGCGATTCTCAATTTTAAAAAATCGCACAGGATGGAGAATAGTATCATTAGCCAATCGAGTTGCATTATTCTAGCAACTAACTTGTATTGGACAAATGTAGAGTTGTCCATATCAAAACTTGGTGGCGTACCATTCCGTCGTTCACTCTATTTAGTGCAGTTTCGTCGTGGTCGTGGCTGCGCATAATATGATCTCTCTCTACCAATCATCGCGGATATGGCGCTTCAATTACAATACTGCTTGAATATAAATGCTGTCAATTATAATTGATGGTAATTTTGCTGAAAATACCATTTTCAAGAACACTTGCAAGTACCACTGGGGACATTTTCCGT